ACCTCTTTCTTGAGACAGTCCCGCATTGCACGGTCCACATCATTACATGTGCCAAAGAACTTGAGGACGTTATGCTATAGACAGAGTCAGACAATAATTACTTACATTCCCGTTTTCAAACCAAACATAAGATAAACACGTCTCTTATTTGTGCACAGGTTTTATAACAGATTATCAGAAAAAATGAAATTACATTAAGCTAAAGATGAAGAGGCAAATGATGACACATTTCATTTCTTGGTTTGCTTCATTCACAAAATGTAATTCTCAGGTGATTGTGCATTTTTGCATTACTGCATTGTTTGTGGATTGTACAATTAAGGAGGTGAAAAGTTCACTCTGAAAAGCATGTTTGCATGAGTGCATGATGTTTCCATACCTCCTTGTGGCACTGTTTGAGAAGTGTTATAAGTTGATTGCACTCGTCAGTATGTAGATGGGGCGACAGATCAGGGTGCATCCTGAGTTAAGGCTGTATGTCTTGCAAGCTGTGACAGCACTTGCCCTGCTGGTGACTAAAATTATTAAAGTAAGACCACCATGAAGAAAAGGGAGGGGGGAGTAAGTGCCTAAAACTTTTCACAATACTGTACTTTCCAGGTAAATCATTCTCCGATTTGGAGAAGTTGTCTTAGTTCTTTTATGGATTTATGCTGTCTCAATTGCCTTTGTTCATTCATGTAATCCCTGATTCTATGATGGTGTGTGGGACAAAGATATAAATAATCATCTTCAAACAAAATGTTTTTAAACTCCGCGTGAACCGGATGTTGCTGCCAGCTTTATTTCAGTGTAGTGACGTATTTCCAGCTCCTCCTCTCTGTCTCTCACTCATAGCAACTAATAACGGTTGGAGGTGTGTGTTTAAGTATATTCTGCCCAAGCCGTCAAACTGACGCCATCAGAGAAGGAATGCCATTCCAGAGCGGAAGCAAATGCTCAGATTTTGATTAAAGATTACAATGCCAAATATGTTTTTTCAGCGGATCAACTTGCACGGATTAATTGTTCACAACTTCACATCAAGACTAGCAATGTGTGTTAATAAAGTAAATAAAGTCAATTTTGATTCCATGCGGACTTTAAGACTTTTCAGTACTTTACTTTTTTAAAAATTGACCAAAAATGAAAAATCTGTTATTGTTTACTCCATAAGACTTCAATTCATCTTTGGAACACAATTTAAAAGATGTTTAATATTCTCTCGTAATTTTTATCCATCCATTGAAAGTCCAAACATTCACTCTTCAAAAAAATACATTGTAGTTACATTGTACAAAAATACAAGCAATCCATATGAATCAAACATCTTCTGAAGAGATGGTAAACATGGAAGCTCATCTGTGCTTGAGGTGCAAGAAACAGTGAGGTTGCATATTTGATGAGCTTTATTTATGTGTAGATCAATGTTTAATTAAAAGTAAAAGCCTAAATTAAATCTGTTCCTCATATAGTCAGCTTAGTTCACATTAATCATTTTTACATTTTTTTTATATATATATCCTCCTGAGAACCAGAAATAAAAAGCTTTGT